GGCCATCATTCTCGGGTGGTTTATAGTCCGCACTAAGTGGGATACTTGGAGTCTGTACAGACTCCAAGTATCCCACTCTTTTAAATATCAATAACAATCGGTCCAATGTGATATTTTAGAATGTTATGGTAATCATCTCAACAAACATTTTCTCACTAATTTACATCAATTTTTGCTTAGTAAAAAACAAGTATTTGTATTACCAGTTTATTCAATTATTTTTGCGGATCATCAAGTGAGTCAATACTTTTTTTTAATCAAATATATAAAAAGCATTTTGTTCTCTTTTCTATTCAAATAAATATTTTAATTCAAACTAGAGTTGATGACAAGTGACAACAACCATCATTCTTGTTAATAATTAACATTTACTTGTTGCTCAACTTGATCTTTTTCCTTTTTTTTGTTTATTTTCTATTCTTTTTCTTGTCATGTTTATGTTAAGAAAAAATATTTTAATTTTTTTCTAGATTTTTGACAAAGATGAAATGTGAGTGTTTTTAGTTTGGTTTTGAAGATTTTTTTTTTGTTATTATATAATTAATATTACAAATCTTGCCAGGTTATTGGATAATTTAACGTAACACAATCCTCTTATATATACTGAATATAAAATGATCTACAAATTTGCCCGTTAAAATGAATTCTATTGAAGTTCAGATCATTCTACATTGTGATACAAAAAATAAGTTGGGGGATTTAGTATCGAAGATATTAATAATTAATATAGTTTTTTGCTATAATAATAATTTTAAATTTTTGTTATCTTTATTTATTAAATATGGACCCAAATCCAACTGGAAAAATTCCTAATGTAGTCAATGAAGCGACATCTGAACCAACACCTTCATCAGATGCAGAAAAGGTAAAATTCTAAATTTTTGTTCAAATAACAAAAATTAGTTGATCTTTAAAAATTCTTTTTTAGATACGTTTAAAAAGATTAGCAAAATTACAACAACAATTCAACAGTGAATCTTCATCTTCATCTGCCAGTAATAACGCAGCATCGAATGCTATAGTTTTTCCTAAATCAAATGCTGAACAAAAAAACGTATCTGCAACTACACAAATAACAGCACCAAAACCAACCACTATTACCAATACTACTAATGTACCACCATCATCATCAAAGATTAATATAACTCGGGAAACTACGGTGAGACCATGATTTTAGATCAAGAATTTCATTATCAAATTGATGATAAAATAATTTGGCATTTGTTTAAGAATGTGAATGTTTTCAGAAAAACCAAAATGGAAAAAAATCTTTACAACTGATTTTTTTTCTATTTTTTTAAAAAGATACCGGCAACGTACTTGCAAAAAACTCAACAACCAGTTAGATCTTTTGAAGATTGGCAAAATGATGCCATCTCCAAAGTACTGCAAATCACCCTTGATGTAAGTTAATAATTTTGTAGATTTAGACATTAGAGTAGTTGGATTTTTTTTTTTATGTAAATATTCAAAATAGAATTCTAAATCAAATGAAATAAAATAATTTTATTTATTTATTTATTTATTTATTTCAATAAATCTCTATTGATTGACGCTATTTTTTTAAATTGGAATCTTGAAAGAAATCGGTAGCCGAAAAAAATCCAAGTCAAATAATCTATCTTAATTCTCTCGTGAAAGAATTAAAGAAGGAAAACCCTGGTATGAATTAATTCAATTACCAAATGTCAATTTCATTTCATTTCAATTAATGTCTGGAAATAAGCAATATTCTAATGTAAAGATAACACACACATATATAATTTCAACAGAAGTAACCTCTTTCAAACTTAATAGATCTAATCTTGAAAATGCACTATATACTCGACTATCTATTGATCCTAACGAGATGACTGACGATGATGAAACTTTAGTTGCGATTTCAAATCTGAGTGATAAATCTTCGTTCGATTATCTTTTAGATTGTTGGAAGAGAACTTCTGAAATCAAAAGAAGTATAATGAATCGTTCTTCAAAGGTATTTAATCAAGTAAAATCTTAGCCTTTCTAAGTTTACAAAGTGACAACTTTCAGAATAAATAATTATATTTTTTTTTGTGGGTATTATATTTCAGAATTTAGAACAATCTGTTGTCAATGAACGAATAAAATTTATAGATGATGTTAAAGATTTAATTGTAAATTATGCTGTTTTAGCTATTACATATCCGGAAACATTTTCATCGAGTCAAAAGTTATTATTGTTTTTTTTTCTATTTCTTTTTACCCAAAAACATATCAATATATTGTTCATTTAGCCAACTTATTATTTTGATTTTTTTATTTATGTAAAATAAATAAATAAATAGTTCGGATCAGTGTGAGGGTCCTAAACAACTTATCCCAAGGTTTCTAGCAGATTTCGAATCCAATGAAGGAATGCCACGGGAATTTGTTCAAGAGTTCGCATTAAAAGTTGAAAACGACAGTTTTGTAGAAGTTAGTTGAAGAATCTTATTCTGATAAATAATGGTATTATTATTTGTTACTATTATTTTCTAATTCATATTATATTATTACTTATTTAATAGGTATTTGCACCAACTCTGATAGCTATTTCAGAACAAATGCGTATAAAAGATCTACTAAATGACTATTTGCCTCTTTTGAACGTTTGTATTAATAACAAAATATCAATTAGTTTCTGGTTTGCATCTTCATGTATTAATCAAATTAATATATTGTTAGGTATTTGCTAACTTAACGGATATTAAACCTATAGCTGCAAGAGTAAATTATTTAACATAAAACTATTATCCAAATCTTTTTTTGTTCAAAAAAAATTTTTTTTTTAACTATTTTGTTTTTATTATGAAAAATAGCTCTTCTTGTTGCCAAGTTGGAACCCACATTACTCAACACCTAGATCCTTTGAATTAGAATCACTTCTAGGTCCATTTTGTCGTATATCTGTTTTTCCGATGGATAAGGTTAATTCTGTTTTTTATTTTTATATTGACTTCTATAAAATAGGCTTGTTTTCTAATATGTTTGTTATATATTAGCCTAAAATTGCAGAAAATTATTTTGGTAATCTTGAGCGTGTTCGTCAGTCAGATATTGATTATGGGATAGAAAATTTGAGAATTGCTATGCAAAACATACAGGTTATTATTTAAATTACAATCGTCTACACGCACATACACAATGATATATAATTATTTGAATGATTAAAAATCAGTGGTATTAATCAACTATTATATAATAGAAAATAATTTTCAGAGTATTTAATAATGTCATTCGTTCTGATGCATCAGCACGTGAAGCTGCTCTGGAGTATTTTGGCAAAGCTATTAAATTGAATGAAAAAAGGGCGCAAATGCAGGTTAAATTAAATATGGATTTTTATTACATATAAAAAGTTGTAGTATTATTTTATATCAATAATTAAATCATTCAACATATTTATTACTGTTATCGTTAGGTTGATCCATTACAAGTGGGAACTGATGGATTTTTGGTTAATTTAACTAATGTTTTATTAGATTTTGCCGATCCTTTTATGGATGCTCAATATTCAAAGGTTTCGATTCATTTATAATTACAATTATCTATTTGTAATCGTTTATTATTTATTATTTATCAATTTGAAATTTATATTAACGTTAGATCGACCGTATTGACATTGATTATTTTCGTAAATCCAAACGAATTGATATCAGTCAAGCGACTAAAATCAATGCAAATCAACAAGATTCTGAATCATATTATTCTTCTTCACTTGAAAATACTAATGGTTAGAGAAATATATATTTATATTTAAATTAATTATACTGCTAAAATATTATTAATTGATGGATTTTTAATTAAATATACTTTATTCCATTAGCGCCAAATTTTATTTCGGAAATATTCTTTTTAACGATAGCAATACATCATTATGGACCTTTGCATTGTTTTGAAAAATATAACAATTTAATTAGAGATCTTTCAGAACTTCAAAAACAATATGATAGAATGAAAGCCGAGCAAGCTAACTGGATTGGTGTAAGCCTTCTTGATTATTGTAAAAAAGGAAGAGATGATGATGATTGAACTCTCATAAACTTCTGTTTATTAAATTATTTGATTGAATGTTTATATATTATTTAGACACCAGCTGCCTTATTAAACGAAGGACTTTTGAAACGTTGCAAAGTAAGTACTTTAACATAAAACTTTTGATGAAATACTAATCTAAGAAAAAAATTATATTTATTGTCTAACAATAATATTGTAGGAACAACTTGAGGAATGGGCTTCTCATAAATTTGTTTATGATTCACAATTATTGAATTCTTTTGCCTTATCACATTCTTTCCAATTTTATAATTTGGTAATGAATTGGGTATTAAGGATTGTGGATCCCGAAAAAAAGCATCCACAAAAACAAATACAGTATGTTTATATATAATTATTACATATACATATGTATGTATCTTATGACGTATTTTTCCAATTAATTTATTTTAAATTTTATTTTTGTCAAAGGCTGCCATTACCACCAAATCCACCAGAAAAATTCACAATGTTACCTGAATATATTATTGAGGATATAACAGAATTTTTCCTATTTGTTTCAAAGTAAATAAATATTGAAATCATAACATTATCAATTTATAATTTATAATTTATTTATAAACAATAATTTTTAAAAAAAATTTTATTTTGGGATTAATGTTTAGATATAATACAAGAATTTTTCTAAGTAACTCATGTGACGAAATTTTGATTTTCATTATCACATTTCTTAAATCTCCATCTTACATAAAGAATCCATATTTAAAGGCTAAGTTTATAGATGTACGTAATCATCTTATATGTAAGAATAACTATATTAATAATTGGATTTTATTTAACTTGTTTCTATAGATTTTATACTTTTCTACATTGAGGAGTGAACGAGAAGGTAGTTTTGAAGCTCTGTTAAATACACATCCAATTTCATTAAATCATTTGATGGCAGCTTTGATGCAATTTTATGTTGGTAAGTTCTATTAGTAATATTAGTATTAGCTAAGCCATTTTATTATTCAAACTTAAAAATTTAAAAATTTATAACTATTATTAAATATTTTTTTTTTCAGAGGTTGAACAAACTGGAGCACACACGCAGTTTTATGATAAATTCAATATTCGATATAATATTTCACAAATATTTAAAACGATATGGAAAAATAATTTACACAAAGAAAAATTAAAGGAGGAGAGTAGGTAAGTATTATTATTTATCACACTTTTGATAGATTATCATTTAACATTATTGATGTTATTCATTGTGTTATAACAGGAAAACAGAATCATTTGTTCGATTTGTTAATTTATTAATGAATGATGCAACATTTTTATTGGACGAAAGCTTGAAAAAATTAATTGAAATTCATGAAATACAAATTGAAATGGATAATAAGGAACAGTGGGATAGTCAACCTCAGGTAATATATAACATTACAACATAAATATTTGAGAGTTTTAGAACTAAATTAATTAATAATAATCAATTTGGTTTATTAGAATCGACGTCAAGAACGTGAGGCATTGCTTAAATCTTTGGAAAGACAAGCCACATCATATATGGGACTTGGCAATGAGACAGTTCATATGCTTAAATATATGACATCAGAAGTGGTTGAACCATTTCTTACACCAGAAATAGTTGACAGATTAGCTGCAATGTTGGATTATAATATAGTGTGTTTAGTAGGACCTCGTTGCATTGATCTCAAAGTTAAAGATCCAGATAAATACAGATTCCAACCGAAAAAATTATTATCGAGGATATTAACAGTTTTTTTGAATCTGTGTAAACATAGCGAATTTATATATGCTGTAGCCAGAGACGGCAGAAGTTATAAGAAAGAAATGTTTTCCAAAGCTGCAGGTATTATGAATAAATTTGGTATGAAATCTGATACTGATATTAAGAAATTGGAAAAATTTGTAAACGAAGTTGAGGAGGTTATCAGGGAAGAAGCTGCTGATGAAAAGGAATTGGGTGATATTCCAGATGAATTTATGGGTGAGTTATTATTGTTGTTGTGTGTGTATATATATATCTAATGCATTGAAAATTTTTTTTTATTAGATCCGATTATGTGTCAAATTATGAAAGATCCAGTGACTTTACCAGAATCAAAGCAAATAGTTGACAGAAGTACCATCACGACTCATCTTTTAAGCGATCCAACTGACCCATTTAATCGCAGGCCATTGAAAATTGAACAAGTTATACCAAGTAAGTAATTAAAATTAAGTTATTACTACGTTTAATGAAGAAATTGTTATAATGACAATTTTATTGCTTTCGTCTTCTCTTTTAGATACAGAATTAAAGGAAAGGATTAACGCCTTTATAAATGAAAGCAAAAGGCAAAAAAAATAAATATTATATATAAATAATATTTATTAATTTGTATGATTAAAATCTATAAATTATTTTTACTAATAAATATAGGCAATATTTAATGACTGTGTTTTTAAAACAATGCATAAATTATAAATATAAAATAATATTTTATGTGAAAATAAATAATTGATTCGATATTATTTTTTTATAAAAAAAAACGAATTTATGTACAAGAAGAAATTTATTCTGATAGACAATTTTTTTAAAAAGTTAATAAATCCATTAATTATTTGACTTTTCTCCTTTTTTATAAAGCCCTTTTAAATGTGCTTCTGCTGATTCATATTCAGTCCTTACTTGTACTAACAAATCAGTTATTCTTATTAATGCATCCTCTTCCGTTATATCTTTTTTACCAGATTCATCCTTTTTATTTCCACAGTGTTGTATTTTTTCACAAGAATCTTTAACCTTAGTTAAACCCATCGCAGCAGAACTCCCTTTTAGAAAATGGCCTAATTCTGATAATTTTTTAAGGTTTTTTTTTTTTCTTTTTCGCCAAGATTTCATTAATTAATAAATAAAGTGTATTTATTATTTACAAAAACATTATTTATTTCACCTACAATGCTGTTTCCATGTCAGCAAAAGTGTCCTGAGCTTGTTTGTAATAATCATCGAGTATATCTAATAAGAAATTTTCGTCCTCTCCATCGTCCATATCTAATAGTTGGTTAAAGGTTTCCTGATCAATAAGATCTGTATCAAGAGAAATAGGAGTCTCGTTTTCATTTTCAGTATCCTTTTTGTTTAATAGAGTAAATAATTATATTAGAACAATAACAACATTAGCAATTTATACAAGTGAAGTTTTTAATCTGCATACTGAGATCTCTGGGCTTGATGTGTTGGTCATTATTAATATAACTTTATTAATATTATTATTAGAAGTTACTTATTATTATTAAGAAACGATGGTTCTTTTATAAAAAAAAAATATAATTTATTAAAATCTTAAAAAAAAAACCCCAAGCTTAATTTAGGCGTAATTGCATCATAATACTTGAATAAATATTGGTTATTTATCCATCGCGTCACATAATAATAAAATTGAAATTTGCAACTTGGATTGGTTAATTTCAAAAATATTTGCCTATCTTTAAAACTCCTAAGCTCGATAACCACTAAGCAGCGCAGATCGTCTATACTCAAAAATCGAGAAATTTATAAAGTGCATATCTATCAGCAGAACGGAAAATTCCAGGTGTGGAAATGATTCTCAATATCAATGAATTATCCTTTTAAACGGTACGGTCATTCGGCGGTTGACCGTCGAATTATATACTAAAAACAGAATTCTTTATTAGAAATTAATATGCAGATCCGGATATTAAACTTATTAAAAAATATAACTTAAAAAAAAAGAACATTCTCGCGATTTTTTTTTTAGAAATATAATAATAGATTATTTTTTAATAATATCGGTCCAATTATTATCTAGTGGTATTATAGACTTTGATTTACATTATGGAATTCATGCAAAAGGTTGGTGGTGGCACCCCCCAAAAAATGAATAAAAGAGATATTTGTTTTTATCATCCCATTTGTATTGGAATGAAAACACAATTTTTCCTAAGTAGTAAAGTAAATAGTATATATTATGTATCGTAAAGGTTGATGATAATAATAAATTTTGTCCAGAGCTAAGATATTTATCCAACGTGGGTGAACGGAAAATTTTCTCCGGGCTATAATATAAAAAAATGTATCCAGATTGTTGTATGTGAAATTGAAATTGAAATATTATGGAGTGGGGTGAAATTCTGATTGGCTAATTTGAATTTCACATATGTAAATTTGAATTTCACATATGTGAATTGCGAATTCACATAATTTCATTTTCACGTACAACAATTTACAAAAACATTCAAAAATCTAAAGATTTCTTTGGAGATCTTTTTCACAAAAGGTGACAATGAATATTTTTAAGTAAATACTAAGGTTTTAACAGCTCAAGGCAAACTACACTTGATACAATGTGACTAGGCTTTTAATCAATATCAAAAAAAATTTTCCTTGGTTTTTTTTTATTAATAAGCATGCATATGTTTTTAAATGCATAATAATAATTTTACTCATCTGCATTCACAAGTTGACCTCTATAAGGTCACACCTCCACACCATCACACTTTTTGGCTGGTCACGTGCGTGTGACTTTACAGAGGTCTGACCGTAGTTAATGGACAAAAGAACGTTACAAAAAAAGGGGGAAGCATTTATATATAATCTTGTCTTTTTTATAATTCTTTCCAAGTGCGTTTTTTACGAATTTTGTTGAAGGTTAGGAGTCTTTTAATTACCCACCCAACCCACTCGGGTAAAAAGGGGAATAGATTCATTTATATACATATATCTTGATATGCGTGTATTTTATGTCATTGATAACAAGTGAATTCATTTCAACATCATAAACTGTCAAAGCCGTTCCAGTGTAGTATGTATGATGTGTAGTTCGATCCTTCTAAAAATTTTTTTTGTAAAAATTCAATGTTAACAATGATCAACATGAGATACAAATAAATTATAAGGATATTATTTTTAATCAATTTTAAATGAATGTAGAAAATCACAACGATTGTGTTGTAATGTATAATGATGACAGACCAATTCCAACACTTCCAAATGAGTTAACTGCCTTAGTATTTGAAAGTCTTGAACAAAGCATAAAAATTAAAATTGCCAGAGTTTCTAAAGTTTGGAATGCTTTTATTTATTCACCTATATTTTGGAAAAAAGTCATTTTGTACGATGCAAGTAAATTCCAAACCGGAACATTTGAACGTTTAAAACTAGTTGAAGAATTAGATGCTAGAGGTAGTAATTTAACTGATGCATTTATTAAAACGTTGGTTACTGGATCAGCAGGAACAACATTAAAAGGTAAACAGTATGCAATTTTTTCCTTTTTTTTTTTTAAAAATTTTTAAAAAAATTTTTTAATTTTTTAATTAATCTTTAAATAATAGTATTGGATATTTCTGTTAACAAGATTACAAATGTATCAATTCTATTCATTGGTCTTCATTGTTGCAACTTAATGAAAATTTTTATTGAAGGTTGCCCAGAAGTTACAGATATTAGACCTTTAAAACTTTTGGTCAATAATTTATCAGTTATAATAACATCATATTGTGAAGATATTTCAGATGCT